ATATTTCGTAAAAACGAATTAATATTTCGTAAAAACGAATTAATATTTCGTTTTTACGAATTAATATTTCGTAATTACGAATTATTATTTCGTAATTACGAATTATTATTTCGTAAAAACGAATTAAATTCCGGGGAAAAAAGTGTGGAAAATGTCACCTTAGGGGCTCCGTACATACAGATACCAGTTGCTGCTTATTTATTCTCTAGAACATACTTGTTACCGCATTATTCGGTACTTCACAAATGAAAGAACATAACAAGCTAGACATTAACATAAGTACAGGTATATCAATCACTGTCCAATAATCTGTATCTCTCACAATGAAGGTGTTGATAGGATTAAAATAGGGAAAAAAGGTGTTAAATTTACACACACTTTTCAGCTGATAAATATTTTAACACATTCATTTTATCAATCTTCTTTAAGAAATATTATTAGATTAAGTCAAAACTAAAATGATCTAAAATGATAACTTTTAAAAAAATGGGGAAGAACAGTCTACATGTTTCAAATTTGGGAGAGAACTGTCAGTGGAGGAAACGGTTTGGGAGAGAACCGTCAGGGGGAGGAACTGGTAAGGGAGAATAGTCTGTCATTCTTTGCAAGGTTGTTTTTTTTCAGTAATTACTTGATCAGATATATTTTGACCATTTAGCAACATTTTACAGTAAATATTATTGAGATAAATAGGTAACATTTTTGTATTTTGATCAGTTTTGTTTTCACACAGCGTCATCGGTATTTTTCTACGAACACAGTATTTTTTTCTTGAAAACTTGGGGTGTTGATTTATTGACTCATTGTCCCTTTCTTGGTCTGAATTATTCTTGCCCAACTATCGAGCACTTTTTTTGTCTATCTTTGCACACATTCTTTGCACTACCCACAGATGTCTGATTAAGAAGAGGAGCTATGTGAGGTTAGATGACAAGTGGGAGAAAGAACCTTACATCATATTAGGCATACCCAATGAAGACATACCAGTCTACAAGCTGAAGAAGGAAGTTGGCAAGGGAAAAGAGAAGACCCTACATAGAAACCTCCTTCTTCCTCTGATGTCTATACCGTACACTGACGATGAGACACAGAGTGAAAAGCAAGTTTCTAAGCCAAAAGCCAGACCAGACAGATGGGAACAGACTATAGGAGTTAAACCAGAGCAAGTCAAACTCAGACTGCATCACAGGAAGTGAAACTCCTAGATACATCCACCCCATATAAGACCAGCATTCAAGCCCCGTGTACTAAGACTGGTGCAGCCAACCAAGGATACACATGTTGTTTGTGAAGATCAGTTGTCATTTACTGGTGGAGAGATGTCATCATTTTCACAGAATTTAAGGACTCAACATGTTTCTCCAAATTGACATTCTAAAGATAATTTTTCTGTTGATAACCTTAATTCTAATTTTTCAGGTGGAAACCAATCTTGTAGTTCCCATAATAATGCTATTTTATCAAATAGTAAATCTAATTTAAATTTAAATGTTTCTAATGGTAACAATTTTTCTCTTGTTACAGATGACCCCAGTATTGTTCAAAGGTCAACACAAATTAGAAAACCACCAGATAGGTATGGTGAGTGGGTAAGACCCATCACAGCAAATGTTGATTCTCAAAATCATGACATTTTGTATCCTCAATCTTTTGCAGATCAGGGGAGAATGTCACATAATAGATATTACTTTTGATTTTCATGTAAATGATTGAAATATATTTATTTCAGTTTTGATTTATGTGTTTTGCTTACTGACCTCAATTTCTGTGTTTTACATTACAGAATTGTTGTTAAGTTTCAGTTTAAACATGAAATCTATATCAGAAATCCTTATTATTTCTGTGTGTGCAATTTACATTTCAGATTTTACAGAGAGTACAAGTAAATGAAATATGTATATTGTATTTCGAAATGTTTAAGGAAATGCCTTTGTTTTCATTATTCATATTGAATGCATTTCTTGTTGACATTAAACTGAATTTTGTGTCTGAAAATGTTATATTTATCTTTTCAGAAAATATGGTGCAATACCTTTAATGTTGACAAATTAAGTGTTGTACCCTTAACATGTTAAATTTCATTATGTGCCTTTAATGTACCATTACCCTTGAATTAAATTTCAACTTTATGTTATTCTTATATATCTATTTCAGTATACATAAATGATATAGAGTATGTGTTTTAAATGTGTTTTATTATAGGTTGGTGCAAATTGGAAAATGATTGTTGATATTTTCTTTTTCAGCAAATGATTGTTGATGTTTCAATTTTCAGCAGATGCATTATTTTCGCAATTGTTTATTGATTAGAAATTTTCAAATGTTCAGTATCTTAACTTCAAGAATTGTTTTGGAAAATTTTGGCTTAAAATTTGAAAATTCATTTCAGTTTAATTATTAAATAACTATTGCTGAAGTTTACTTAAATAGGTTAGGTATTAACACATTTATTGTGTGAAGGTAATACCCCGGTCACATATTTACGGAATACGCCCACGGAAGAGCCACGGATTAATTCCGGCATCGTCCGTAGCTACCCGTACTAGTCTGTAGCTCTCCGTATTGTAATTGAAATCAATCGTAGTAGTCCTTGTATATCCGTAGCGATCCTTGACAATTTTTGAACATGAACAAACATTTGCTTCAGAAAAATCAACCGTAGCGTATCCCTACTCGTACAGATACGTACTGGTCCGTACGGAAACCGTACTAGTCCGTACTGATTCGTAGGCCTCAACCTGCTAAGGATTTCCACGGTTTGGTACGGAGAACTACGTATTTGTACGGTTACCCTACGTATAAGCTACGGATTAATACGGCATAGTCACGGAAAGCTACGATCGTAATACGTTGTACTACGGAGAGGCAGGGATTAGCACGGTCTTATACGGTTTATTGCGTTGCAACACGAAACGATACGGAATGGTACGGTCCACCACTGTTTAGTACGGATAAACACGGATTTATATTGCATACGTGGGATAAATTAATAGTATCATGTGCTTTTTCAAGGGTATAAATACTACATGTACCTTCTTATTAAAATAGACATATTTGCGTGAACATTCAATAAATGATTATTGCCATTTACTGGCTGCAATTTTATATTGAAATAGCACAGAATGCAGAGGAAGTGGTCGAGCTGCTTGATGACATGCATATAGGTAAAAATATATGAATATATTAATATCGTACTACAATTCATAAGTAAAAGAATATCATTAAATGTTACATATTTACAAACATTAATATGGATCGTGAAATTGGAGTAAATATGTATAGAAAACGTAGTGTCTCATAAACCTCGGACGCTGCACCTTATGTGATAATAAGATTAATTAACAAGCTTTCTACATATTTTTAAAACATAATCATTCACGATAATTAATGTTATTGTAAAATGAACAGTGAATTTCAAAATCAAAAGAGAATCAGTATTGACCAACATTTTTCTTTAATGATTACTAGCTCATATCTAATCAGGTAAGAGGAGATGGTGGACTAGAGATGGGCTATTACAAATCCCCTTCATGTTAAGTATGAGGCTCTCATGGCCGAATCTGTTGAGGATCCGGCGTCCTTCACGAAATTCACTTTAATCGGACCTGATATGTCTCGGGGGTCGGACGCGATGAGGCCGAATCCTCTCCGCCAAAATCATTGAACTCTGCAATTCGTTTTCTAGTTGTTCTTTTCTTGTGAGGCATTTTGAAAATGAGCATGCATGAGGTTGTGGACGGATATAAAAAGTCCGTATAGGTCCGTGGCAATACGTTCTTCTCCTTATCAATTCGTTCTTCTCCGTATCAGACCCGTACTAATTCGCACTAACCCGTGATTATACCGTAGCAGACCGTAGTATTTCCTTAGTGCATCCGTCCTGATTCGTGTCGCTCCGTACCAAACCGTGTCGGTCCGTAACAATTCATGTCTCTCCCGGGGCTTTTGGTGGTAAATCCGTCGAACTCCGTACTCATACCGCTGTGAGTCCGTACTGGAACCGTAGCAGACTACGGAATTTCACAAATTTCCGTAGTAATCCGTGAACGATTAGACCGTAGCTCTTCCGTGGCATTATTTGTGAATATGTGACCGGGGCATAAGCTGTAAACGCCGCTTAGTGTTGGTTTTGCCTTTGCAACATAATTTCGCGATAGTTGTTTGTCAGTTTAATTTGCGACATTTTCTATGATTTACACCCACTCTTAGGCACTTTAGCTGACCTATGCATGTGTATAGTTGTTATTGTTGAATTACTTAACTGTGACGGAGTCGACACTAAAATTTAAATAATATTGTTTCTATCTAGGCTAAATTTTAAAGATCCTTTTTTGAAGGGACGCCATCATTTGATATCCAGTGTCCTCTCCTAGTCTTAGAATCCCCTTTCATTTAGTACCAACATTTCATTCATAAGCATTTTAAAATATTAAATGCAAAAACAATATTATTACAAATTCATTTTTTTTCCAAGTACCAACCAAACCCTCTGTTGCACAGGCACGAGTATCGGACCTGGGAAGACAAAATATGACCTGGTAGATAATTAAACCTGTGTTTATCCTTAAAAAGTAAAAAACCAAAAAAAAAATGTAAATCATGACCCTCTTTAAAAACATACTATAAGGGAAATTCCAGATTCGAGTCTACAAGCAAGGGATTCACTTCCGGGGCCGTTGTGAAAACAATTCTCCAGACAATTAAAAAAAAAACTTTTATCACTATTTCACGTTTGTATTAAGCTTCCAAATGAGACCGACCCCAAGTCTCTAGCCCTTCCAGTTCATGAAATATTTATCAGTAAACGAGCGCATTTGTGCTAAAAATCCTTGGTAGACAAAATTGCGGCACACCAATTCGGTACATAAACATAAACTAATACATGTTTGCCAGCCATTGAGTACGGGTCATAATCATATTGTCACTTGGCGCAATAACTCACTTAACGTATATGTATTTTATAATTATTTATTAATGTATTTTCATTTTATTATAAATAGGCCATAGTGGCACTGATGAGAATGAGACAGACACATAGAGTAGGCCACCACAAGTTATTGGCCAAGCAACAACGCCCAAACAGGCACAAAGCCTACTTTCACCTCCGTCCCGCTTATCTGCACAGGCATTGCGAGAAACCATCAGTGATGTGCAAAGTGCTTCTCCAATACAAGGTGCTTCTGATACGCCCTCCTGGGGGCAGATTATTATAAACTTCAGAGCTGTAAATATATTCATTACAGTACATACTTATTAAATGTTCTATCGTCAAAACAAGCCAATAAATGTTATAACAAGCTGGATTGAGTGACACAGCCAAAAATGGAAAGTTTCACCTTGTGACTCCCCTAGTTCAAAAAATAGATCAGTTTAATTCATGATTTCTTATCATTTTCACATTTTGTGACCTTGCGCACTCAACAACCCTTTTGAGATTAGCGTTAATTACTGTTAAAGACAAGGACAATTTTAAATACTGGATTTTTATGCCACCGGGCATATAATGATTGAACCGTCCGTCCGTCCGTCTGTCCGTGCGAGGTTAACCTAGAATGGCAAGTTGGATTTTTCTTAAGTTCTACATGTACCAATGGCTTCTAAGTTTACACACTTACTAATCAATATAAAGTACATGATCTGGGCAAGTTACATAATTCTGGCTTTCATATTTACCAAATATGAAAAACAAGATCAACAAGGAAAGGCGGCGTTCAATGAACGCAACCCCCACATGACCCAGCAACAAGAACCAATGGCAAGGAGCCCAGGCGGACCCCAAACATAAAAAGGACAGGGCAACGACACGTTAATCATTAAATGATAAATAATTTGTAACTGATTAGGAATTCAAAGAAAATAATAATAGGCCCACAAAGGGGAAGGGGACAGGAGACCGGGGGAAGGGGGGGGGGTAATCAAAGAAATAAAAACTAAAGACAATGGGGAAGATACTTACCGTAGACGAAAAAACAACAAGGGACACAAGCAAAAGTGTCACCAAAGTAAGTGCCCTTTTCAGCACTTAGAAAATGAATAATGGTTAACCTAAAACGGCAAGTTGGAAATATCTTAAGTTCTATCTGTACTAATGGCTTTATAATTTCCACAATTACTTATCAATACAAAGTACATGATATTGCCAAGTTATATAACTGTGTCATCCATAATTCCCAATTATTTCCCTTTTTTCACTATGAAAATAGGGCCTTGTCTGGTTAACCTATTTCAGCAAGTGGGATTTATCTTAAATTTCTCCTAATTGCTTAATTTCTTTAATGGTATCTTTCATATTTAGTAGGTGGATACCTTTGATGGTCCTCTAATTTTTTGTGGAGTAAGCGGTCTCTAGGGTCAAGGTCAATGTAACTGGTTTAAAAGATAAATATAAACATTTTTGCTCATACAGCCTTTATATTTTAGTTGATGTCTTAGTTTTATACAAACATGCCAAGGGTGATCCTCCTTCTTTGGGTGAAGTAAGGGGTCATTTAGGTCAAGGTCAATGTTACCAATGTCAAGGTCACCAATGTTAAAAATAGATTTTTACAGGTGTATTGACCTTATTCTATAGACAGATGCTATTTATAATTGATAGAAACATAAACATTGATGGAGTTATTGGTCAGTTGGGTCAAGGTCATCAGTGCTAAAAATAGAGTTTTACACTTTTGCTCCTACAGCCTTTATTTATTGACATATATATTTTATATTTGGTAGGAAAATAACTATCATGGTATTCATCCTTTTGGTTGGGGTAGGGATCATATGATCAAGGTCACTTGTGCTAAAAATAGATTTTTACACTTTTGCCCATACAGATTTTATTTATTGACAGATGTATTTCATATTTGGTAGGAATAACTTGCATTGTATGGAGTAAGGGGTCAGTTGGGTCAAGGTCACCAGTGCTAAAAATAGATTTTTACACTTTTGCCCATACAGCCTTTATTTATTAACAGATGTATTTCATACTTGGTAGGAAGATAACTTACATGGTATTCTTTTGGATAGAGCTAGGGGTCAGTTTGGTTAAGGTCACCACTGCTCAAAATAGATTTTTACATTTTTGCCCATACAGCCTTTATTTAATGACAGATGTATTTCATATTTGGTAGGAAGATAACTTGCATAAAGTTGAGTATTTTTCAACTTCACAAGTCAGAGCAATGACTTGGCAACTTATATTTTTCATAATTACAAAATGCCATGACTTTGTCAAGCAATATAACTTGAGTTAACAATTTTTTGGCAATTTTTCTGTCCATAACTGAGTGAATGGGTAAACATTTTTTTAAATATTGCTACTGACAAGAATCTGAGCCGGGGACATTTGTTTTTAACAAACAAGTTCTTGTTTCATTTGTAATTCACAAAGCTCTAAAAGTATATGGCCTAGAATTATGAATCCTTTTTTTCAGCTGCTGATACACAGATTCTCCGAGACTGGAGACAATGCGGGAGGAGAATGAGGATGATGCAGCGATGCAAATGTTGACAAGGTTAGCAGCAGATGACCAACCGCTACAGCTTCCGGAAGATATTTCATTCCCTATGTGTTCTCCTGAGCAGATGGAAGATGAGCTTCTTGGGAGATCAGACAAAGCTGTCATCTGTGGTAAGCAGTGTTAGTCATGTATGTTGCTCCATTAGTAACTGAAAAAAGTATACCCCATATCCACTGGCTTAAATGCAAAATAACATATTGGTCTGTGGTGAACACTTGGTGATAATGTATTATTATTCTGCTATACATGTATTTATGTTGGAAAATATTGCACAATGGACAAACTCTTTGCTGCATTAATTTCGGAATTAAAAACTGGCATGTTTTAATATTTGGCCGGGTTGCACTGGTACAAATCCGGGTTGTAGTATGGTGAATGTTGGGCGGCGGGCAGGCGGCGGGCGGGCGGGGAAAAAAACTTTCGTAACAGTTTTCTCAATAACTACTTATCACAGCCTTTTGATATTTGGTATACAGCATCAACACAAAGTCCAATACTGCGGGATTCGATTTCAGGTCTGTCGCTCATCTACTTCCTGTTTGCCGACTTCGTTAAATTTTCAACATTAATGGTCAATAGTAGGAAATTTTCGTAACAGTTTTCTCAGCAACTACTTATCACAGCCTTTTGATATTTGGTATACAGCATTAACACATTGCCCCATACTGTGGGATTCGATTTCATGTCTATCGCTCATCTACTTCCTGTTTGCCGACTTAGTGAAATTTTCAACATTAATGGTCAATAGTGGGAAATTTTCGTAACAGTTTTCTAAGCAACTTCTTATCACAACCTTTTGATATTTGGCACACAGCATATGCATATGGTCTCATACCGTTGGATTCGATTTCAAGTCTGTCGCTTATCTACTTCCTGTTTGCCGACTTCGTTAAATTTTCAACATCAATGGTCAATAGAAGGAAATTTACGTAACAGTTTTCTCAGCAACTACTGAGCACAGCCTTCTGATATTTAGTATACAGCATCAACACATAGTCCTATACTGTGTGATACGATTTCAGGTCTGTCGCCTATCCACTTCCTGTTTGCTGAGTTAGTTAAATTTTCTACATTGATGGTCAATGGTAAGAAATTTTCGTTACAGTTTTCTCAGCAACTACTTATCACAGCCTCTTGATATTTGGCATACAGCATCAACACAAAGTCCCATACTGTGGGATATGCTTTCAGGTCTGTCGCTCATCTACTTCCTGTTTGCCGACTTCGTTAAATTTTCAACATTAATGGTCAATAGTAGGACATTTTCGTAACAGTTTTCTCAGCAACTACTTATCACAGCCTTTTGATACTTGGTATACAGCATCAACACATTGCCCCATACTGTGGGATTCGATTTCATGTCTGTCGCTCATCTACTTCCTGTTTGCCGACTTAGTTAAATTTTCAACATTAATGGTCAATAGTGGGAAATTTTCGTAACAGTTTTCTAAGCAACTACTTATCACAACCTTTTGATATTTGGCACACAGCATATGCATATGGTCTCATACCGTTGGATTCGATTTCAGGTCTGTCGCTTATCTACTTCCTGTTTGCCGACTTCGTTAAATTTTCAACATCAATGGTCAATAGTAGGAAATTTTCGTAACAGTTTTCTCAGCAACTACTGAGCACAGCCTTCTGATATTTAGTATACAGCATCAACACATAGTCCTATACTGTGGGATTCGATTTCAGGTCTGTCGCTTATCCACTTCCTGTTTGCTGAGTTAGTTAAATTTCCGTTACAGTTTTCTCAGCAACTACTTATCACAGCCTCTTGATATTTGGCATACAGCATCAACATATGGTCCCATACAGTGGGATTTGCTTTCAGGTCTGTCGCTTCTCTACTTCCTGTTTGCCGACTTAGTTAAATTTTCAACATTAATGGTCAATGGTAGGAAATTTTCGTAACAGTTTTCTCAACAACTACTTATCACAGCCTTTTGATATTTGGTATACAGCATCAAATCATTGTCCCATACTGTGGGATTCGATTTCAGGTCTGTAGCTCATCTCTTTCCTGTTTGCCGCCTTAGTTAAATTTTGACATAATTAATGATCAATAGATAGTAGGACATTTTCGTAACAGTTTTCTCAGCAACTACTTACCACAGCGTCTTGATATGTGGTTCACAGCAATGACATGTGGTCCCATATTGTGGGATTTTATTTCAGGTCTGATGCTCATTCTTTTTCGGTTTACCAACTAAGTTTAATTTTCAACATCAATGGTAAGGCAGTGTTGGAAAATTTTAGTAACATCACAGCCTCATGATATTTTGTATACGTATGCAACCGGTCTTTTCTGTCTTTGACCAAGTGTTTGATTCATATTGACACACTTATCTTATTATTTAGATATGCTATAATAGCCGTGAGCACAAGACATGGACAGTTGGCCTCGTTTTCAACATTGATTATTAGGACAAGACAGTCGATTCATTAATCCAATACTGGCAGCTTTCAAAATACCAGGAAAATGACTAGTACCCGCAAAATCCAGGAATTGAGCTGTTATTATAATAACAAAAATTATTCTGTTGATATTGTATAAAATCCTGTTTAAAAAAAAACCCAATGATAATGTGCCCCATAACACTCGGTGGAGGGGACAAACATAAAGGCAAAAGTCACTAACGTGTTGTTTTAGGCTGTAAATATATGAGGAAAGATCTTTTAATTTGTCAATCCAAACAGTTTTCTTGGCAGATCATGTTTTTTAGGCCCAGTTGACAATTATTTGTCATTTGGTGACTTGCAGCCCATCACAAATGCACATTATATAATTTTGAAACTAAGTAGTGTGAAAATTAGATTAAAAAAAGGTTAAGGTTT